TGAAGACAACAGACTCAGTGTTCACCTAAACAGGCTTGGGAAACAACTGGCTGGAGGACAGTCACTGATTAAATGCAAACTCAGTCACATGATGCTTCATCATCATCATCATTATCATCATCATCATCATCATCATCATCATCATCATCATCATCGTCATCGTCATCATCATCCCTGTAGGTTTCATTACAACTTCTCCTCTCATTGGAGGAGAGTGACGTCAGTGGTGATTGGCTGATTTTACACACGTTTCTACACACACTGGACCAGAATATGACGGGGTGTTTTTGACATCAGTGACTCAGGGTGAACATTAATCAGCTTCTTTTGTGCTATTTTATTATGAAAAGGTAGAACAAGTAGTTTAATTAGGTTCATTAATTAGTATGTTTTTGTGTTTTACAACAAAGTAAAAGTATTTAAATTAATAACTGACCCTTTAACAGAAGTCATATGGAGCACTGATACACTTTCTTTGGTCGCCTCTTGGTTCCCTGCTTATCCTGTTTCTTTGAAGTATTTATTGTGTCCTCAGAAATAAATGCTTCACCTTTATGTTTATGTTATATATTCCAAGATATAATGCTACTGATACTACTCAGGTAATAAAATGGATTATTACAATACTTGCATGTGTTGATTACATGTGTGTCACATTAAGGAGGATCTACTGGCAGAAATGGAATATAATATTCATAGGTATTTTTTTCATTTGTGTATAGTCACCTGAAAATAGGAATCTAAATCACTGTACCAGTTGGACTGACATTTCAACTTTCATCCCAGTTCATTTGATAGCAGTGGTGTGGAATATTTATCACAACCACCAGTAAAAGAAGCTAGCAACTGCTTTATTACTAGTTATTGGTAGTTGTCCAAGTATTTTTTAAATGGCACCAGACTGGAGAATTGTCTCCCCTAGTTTATTTTGACATTATATTTTCTTTTGCAGCTTCCCCAGATATTGAATTCAATTTTGTGCTTTATTTCTCTGATTGTTTAGACTCATTATGCCAGTGACAGCGGCAATTTGTCCTCAGTCCGTTTTTACACACCAACAGAAGCTCCCTCTGTATGTTAAACTTCTTAAGCGACTAACTCTGTAAGAAACACTATAAAAACTTGCTTAGCAACATTAAGGCCTTCATTTAAAGAGAAAAAATTCACTTTTTCAATGCTGCCTTTTTTCTCTATATTATTACATACATTGTACTGCCAGCCTGTATAAACATTGTACCATTTAATCTATTAATCCAAAGAGAGAAGCTGAGTATAAAATAAAGAGTAAATAAAGGTTCACTGCGCACACAGCTCATGTCGTTCAGGGAGGTTCACTCTGTTTCCAGACGCTGGATGCTCTCAGTGATTTGAATTTATTGTGTTTGACAGTCAAATAATCTGCAGGTAGATTGAGCTCAGCTCCTGCAGGTTGAAACCACCATCTCTCTAATGACTGATGCAGAGTCACGTTACCTTCAATCACAGCTGGAAGACTTTCTTTTCTATGACAGTAACTTGGATAATAACCTCGAACCGGTTCTATGTAATGTGACTCTCCAGCTCAAGGACACCTGCCTCACATGTATGTAAGTTTTTAACCTTTATTTAAAGAGACAGTTATCAAAAAGGGTGTGCGTGTGCGGTGTCATTGCTGTAACAAGGTTATGAATATTTAATATGCATGAGGTGCAGGTGTTGTAAACTGATGGTCATCTGATATCAACTTATCTGTTTGTAACTTGATGTCACTGATTAAAAGCTGCATCTGCTCTTTACTGCTGAAGGAGAACTGAACTGACTTGAATTTATAAACTTCTTGTAAAGATATAATATGTAACATTTCTGCATTAAAATGTCTATAAACACTTCAGCTATGTTACATATTTTGGCGAGTTGTGTACTTACATCATCCTAATGTTTTCCAACAATCGTCTAATGGTGCGTTTCACTGGTCACCTGTCACGGTGTCATATCCCCTTTCCACATGCGTCAGTGTTGTGGTCTTTTATTGCCTTTTAATGGATAGTGACAGCTGAAGAGTGACAGGAAAGGGGGAAGAAAGAGGGGCCACAGGTCGGATTCGAACCCAGGGCCCCTGAAGGAAGGACTAAGCCTGGGTATATGGGGCTCCAGCTCTACCAGGTGAGCTATCTGGGCCCCAAAGTTGTCATTAATTGAAGTTTTAAACCATATTTTATGACAAACTTTTTAGATCTTGGTGGTTGTTTTATATGTTTATATCTTAACCGGATGAAGCAGAACTCTGCACATAGTTCGCCTCCTGGGTAGAAACCTCCTGAACGATGAACACTGAAGGAACAACTCCCATGATACCAAGGATACCATGCTACTTCACACTTCACATTTTTGTGAAAAAAAGGTCAAAATCAAAGCAGTGAGACTGAGATATCCTGTAAGTTTTTAGTATGAGTCAAACTCCAAAAGCACTTGCCCTTATTTCCCATAATGCAGCTTTTTGTCAGACACTCCCTGCCTGTTAAACGCCCACGTTCCCAGTTTGTATCACAGGCTTTGTGTAAGAAATGTGTACTCTCTGTAGTGTGTTTGACACCCGTCCAACCCGAGCTCACCCCTACATGGACTTTGCCGCTCCTTATATTACGTCACCTCACTTCCTCCTTTGCTCCTGCCATAATTATTACGACTACTAGAGGTCACTGCCTGACGTAAATGTAGGTTATAATTAGCTGCTAAACGACGTATACCTGATCAAGTGTAATATTATATTATGTGATTAAACTACCTGGTCTGACACATCAAATCAAGAGCTCCACAGACTGTGTGTCAGCTCCATCAGGGAAAATCCAGGCTTTTAAATATCCAGTTTAAACCTCTGAGTGATCCACAATCCATGGCTACATTTTTCTACATGCAAGTGCTGGTCTTTACAGGAGTCAGAGTCCTGCAAGTTCTCATTCTCTACATCTACTCAGGGATTATTTTACACCTCTGACTCCAGGTGAATTATAATAACTGTGATTATAGCCCGGTGATAGAGCCAATAAAGCAGCAGAGCCCCCCTGAGGACTGCAGAGCAGTAGGGCATTAAACCGGTCTACCAGAGACACATGGAGGATTTGGTTGTTTGTTCTTTGTATTCATCTGGTAAACTGACCAGCGAGACTTCTCAAACTTCTGAGTATTCCTTTGAGCTCAGTAATCTATTCACTCTCCTAAAGTGCTCCTCGGTCCTGCTGCTTTTAATTTCATTCATCAAGTAGAAAGCGGGTCCTGATCAGATGGCTAGACCGACCCCAGCAGGGCTCCCAGTCCCTGTCTTTAATATGTGCTGCAGAGAAATTAAAAATCCAGCCATGCTTTTTTCTGTGGGTGGCGTCTGTATGCAGCCATTTAAGGATATTTCAGAGTCAGCCTAAACTCTACATTAGGATTAAATTTATATCAGTCTAAGCTAGACTTTATCAGATAAGAGCTATAGACTGAGCTGAATGCTAATGTCGCCCTCTTTTCATGACTGTAACCGTATATACACACTTAATTTGCAGGTTACTTAAGTTACTTACTCAGTATGTTTTGGGTTACTTCAGTTACTTGTATTTATGATTAATTACAATACTTATTTCCGTATCATCTTCTAGCAGTTTATTGTGTTATCTATATATTTACACGTGTAACATTTAGGTTGCTATTCATTCTCCATTCTCAAGTAATTTTAGTTCCTACCTGCCTTGTTTATGGGGGACACTTAAGACTCAGGTTAACAGGTTCACAGTTAGCATTAATCTCAGACTACAGCTGAGGCTGACAGGAAGTCGCTCTTCAGTTGAAAGGTATCCTAAAGCGTTGAACAAGCGTAGGCTGACAGTTTTGTTGGTGATGGCACAAAATCAGTCACCTGACTTTTCAGAAAAATCCTGTATTACTTCACCCAGTCAGTCCACATGGTTCTGTGGTTCCTGACGTCTCTTTTCTGGCTCCAAGTCCTTCAGCTTGTCAACAAATACACGTGTCAAACTGTGTTTGTGTGGGTGGGGGGGTCAACGCTCGTTTTGTATTTACCACGGTGGTGTAAAAGTGAATTACGCTCCTAAACTGTAGGGGCGCCAAGTAGCAAGAAAACAAACAATTCTTGCAAAATATGGCTTTAATACAGACAAACACTAAATATCATTACTTCAAACTATATACACATATGTGTGTGTATATATATGATGGTGATGTTATAGTAGATGGTATCATATTACTCTTAAATGTTCAATACTTTGCGGTTTTGCCGCTACAGTTGAGACCGCAGTATTAGACCTACAGTTTCATTGGCTCCTGGGTTAAAGTGTACTGCTTGCCTTGTAATTTTGAGTTTAATTGCTCTTGTATAGTTTGTATTTATAGTTATATTCCTATTTCTATTTAATTTACTTCTAATTAACTATGTTTTACTTGTCTTTATTGGGGTTAGCTTACTGATTTTTGTCTTTGTGCTGCTGCAACACCTGAATTTACCCTCTGGGGATCAGTAAAGAATGCTACTATCTTATCTTTAAACCTCACACCGGTTGCTTGTGTGGCTGTATGGACTCTTTGTTTCTGATGGTTGACCTCTCTGATAAAGATGAATGACCATCTTGACCAATAACATAAGACCCATCACTGGGTTTCAAATTTTCCAATAGAACCTCATAAATAATGGATAAATACATTCTCAAAAGACTCTTTTCACTGTGTGGTTTCAGCACTGGAGCAGGCTTTAAAGCAGATATATAACAGCAATGTGTAACAGTCTAAATAGTTTGTATACACACGTAAACATATCACACCTAGAGCTCTTTCTTTACGCTTTCCACGGCGTCTGTCTTCCTTTGCCAAGCCGTGCGTCCTCGTTAAAGCCCCGCCGGCAGGTTGATTATATTCTCATCATCCAGACAGACAGGCAGACAGACTGAGTGTCACGAAACGCTCCCTCTGCTGTTCCAGTGATGAGAGAGGGAGGGAGGGAGGGACTGAATGAAGGAGAGGAGAGAGAGAGAGAGGGAGGGAGGAGCCAGTCTGTCAAGGTGAACTGATAAACCACTTCACGTCCAACACACGACGCGCAGCTCGCGGCAGCACCGCGCATGGAGGAGAGGGGAAAACGGAGGAGCTCACATCCATTAACGGACGATAACTGGAGCAGCCGGTGGACAGGCCTATACACACACCGAGAGGGAACAGGACCGGTGGAAAGTCTTGTTTTAACCTCGGTTGCTTTTGTTATTATTATTATTTACTATTGTTTTTTTAATGTTGGACCCCAAAACTTAGATGGCACGGAGCGAGCTGAGTGCGTCATCTCGTCGGAGGAATTAAAAAGGTGAGGTTTTTTTTTTTTCTCCACCGAAATGTGACATTCAAACAGGGACCTGTAGTGCGTGTGGACATGAGCTGTGAGTTCACAGCGACGTTATGGTTTGAGGTATTCCATTACCTGCGCTGTCACCTTATCTTATGATCTCCAATGGAGAGGAAGGTCTTCCACTTCAGACAGTCATTGATTGGTCTCAGTCTCAGTGATGAAATGCCCTCCTGCCGTTTCTCTCATGGAGGAAATTAAAGAAGGGACATTAAAAAAACAGAAAGCCAGCAGTGCGTCTGAGCGGTTGCGTATGTACAAATCGATCAGTATGGTTTTTTTTGGGGTGATTTGATGTGATTCAGTTCAATTCCGGACACACGGAGCTGCTGAGACATCCTCTGTGTTTATCTTCCAACAGTGAAGGCGCCAAACGTCTAACAAAGACTTTTTGATTTCATTGGCTGCAGTTTAATTCTCTGTAGCACAAATACAGAGGACATACAGGGGCCCCAAACACCCAGGGGTCCCTGAGGAAGGCTCCAGGTAACTTACAGCTGAGTATATATTGATCAATTACTTAAGAACAATACTGACATACTTCATCTTCACTGGACTTATTTCTTTTTCTACTTCTGCTCCACTGCACCTCAGAGGAAAATATTGTACTTTTTACTTAACTACATTTATTTGACAGCTTTAATCACTTTTTACTTAAACTCATCATGACGCAGTGCCTCTCTACCCAGTAGTACACAAAGTACCTAAAGCTGACTTTGACAAACAACATTAAAATACTCCTACATGTATTTATTAGTGATTAATACAGAGTAATATAATATTATATATAAAAATTCTGCATTGTGAGTACTTTTAGTCTACTTTCAATTAGCTTTTACTTGTAATGGAGTATTGGTATTTTTACTTTTACTTAATCAAAGGACCCGACGTACTTCTTCCTCCACTGATATTAATGAATTCTTATTTATAGATTATAATAAATCAGCCATTTATATAACCTATATCAGGTGAAGTCCATATTTAAATCATCCATTTATTTGAACTCTTAATATTTGTTATATGTTATATATGTATTTATTTATAATAGGACATTTCAGTCCATATTTACGTACGTATTCAGCCCTTTTTGCCAATATGACTCAGTGTGTAAGCAGGCCGGGGCCTTGCTTAAGGACCCTCTGGCAGCACGACACAGGTGTCTTTCAAGGATAAGACAACACACGACGCAGGAAGCTGCAGAGTGGAAGCTGCAGTATGACGTTTAGGTGAGCAGACGGTCCTCCAGGCCTCGAACATGTGTTAGCCTTGTTAGCCTAGCCTACAGTTTACACAAAGTAAACAAAAACAAACCAAGGAAGAATTCAGTTTGAAATGAAATAATGATTGAAGAATGAGGTTAAAGTGCTGAGTCTCAGCTTTCATTTAATGGGTGTTAACATTCACATCACAGGAATAATGTAGCTTGTTACAACCCCCTTAAATGTTCTCACACACAAGTCAAACAGAATCAAAGAGGCAAATAAACTTCTTAGCCATGTTAGCAGGGATGTTAGTACACCACTTTGTTCCAGACTGGCAACAAGTACTCCTAATAACTCTGCTAACCCTCTGACTTTTAATTTAGTGCAACCATCAAGTCAAACTTTTAATTTGTACTGGCACTGTATTTGGTTCTGCAATGCAGGTTTATTTCAGGCGAAGCTTTTAGGTCAAGCGTGAATAAAAAGAAGGAAGCCACTGCAGCCAGCCGGGCTTCCAGAAACTACTAACAGAAACAAAACATGACTGACATGACAGGGTCCATCTTCTCAAAAGTAGGCTGTGAAAAGAAACAAGAAGCAGCTGAGTCGCATCAGTCTGCTGAGACTGGTACTTTCCTGCCCTCCGTTTAGAGGAATTTGTGTAGGTCAGATTAGGAACACCTGTAGAAGAAATGCTATATTGCACCAACAGGGGGAGCAAATAACAGCCCCCCAGTTTAAAGGGACAGAAAGTAACATACACTTAAAGCCATCATATTTTATATTTGTTAACAGGTCATTTGTTGTCAGGTGACTGTGTAAAGTGTTGAACTCTTAGACCTCAACAAGAAACACTCTGCAATACCTGAACTGCAGACCACAGGACTGTCTGTTTGTTTTTATGGCTTTTTACCTTCAGTCTGATCAGTAGTCTCATGTTTCGGGATACTCCTGCCAATTTTCATACGACTATTTATGCAATTGTAGTACGTAAATGTTTGCATTTACATCATTTCGCCAGACATATACCCCCAAAAAAGACCTGACTCCCGGCCTCAAGAGCTCCACTGTTCTTTAAAAACTTTAACTTCATAGTCACTGTTTAAGTTTTGCTCCTTTTCATTGTGTGAAAGCCAAACTCCGAGGTCCTCCTTACGAAACAAGTGTGTTGTCGTGTTTCAAAGAATGCAAGGACACAAAGTCAAGAACTAATTTCCTGAAAAAAGTTTGTGATCTTAAGATTTTCATTCGAAACCGACCTCACGCGGGTCCACTGAACATGTGTTTTTTTTTTTTGCTCTGAGTGAAATGTGATGACAGACGTGCTGCTTTCTGAAACCTCAGAGGAGATGAAGTGGCCTGCTGTGCCCTGGAGAGTGTCCTTGAAGCAAAACACTAAATCCTCACATGATCAGCGGCTGGATAAAGAGATCAGCCTGAAACTGGAGAGTTACAAGTTTTATGACCCCGGTTAGGTGTGTTTGAGGAGGAAATCTTAATTAAATCTTCAAAAATGTAAAGGTATAAGGTTTATATTTTTCTCATTTTACAATTTTAGTGTATATGATGATTCTTATGTCTTATTCTTATGTAGATTACATACAAAGTCAATACAAAGACGCAAATTCACACCCAGCAATGCGAATATCACGAATTGGGTGACGTGAGTTTGAACGTGTATGGGAAGGAGATGAGAGACAGAGCTGTTGTTGGCCTACAGACAGCTGCTTGAGCTCGGGGAGCTCTGCAGAAGAGAGCCTGAGCTTCTGAAGGAATAAACACCCGTAGTCACACCAGATTCTGCTCTGATCTTGAGCCGTTTACTGGCAAGAGGAGAACTCGGGGATTATTATTTTTTAAACTTTTGGGATTAAAAACTAGATTGATCTCCGCTCTCTCTGCTCAACCTGTCTGCTGCGAGCCTAAGAGGTTCCACCACCGCTTGTATCCGTCTTTGTGCACCCAAAGCTCTATGATACTTCATATTTATACAGAGACAGGCCAAAAAAAGGAGATTTGCTCTGAGGAAAGGAAGAGAGGAAAGTGGCCTACCTGGTTAGTGCTAAAAATATGTGTCGGTTCTTGATTCTAGCTATCGGTTTTACTTTACTATGAACTAAGTTAGCATAGCCCTGATTGATCTAAACTCCATTCAGAAAACAAGCATGTTGAAAGTTGTTTGCTCGTTGTCTTGTGCACAGACCCGACAAAGTAGGAATTCACACTTTTTACAAATTGCCATAATGATTGGAATAGTTATTTTGATCTGTTTATTGACATTAAATCACAGCAAAATCTGTTTATTTTTGGCTCATACCATGCAAATATTCGCCTTGCGTTATGTGTGTGAGTACAAATAAATACATATTATCCTGCGAGTAAACTAGCACGTAACGCGAGTTAGTTGCAGTCCTATGGAGAACACTTTGAAGACTATTACGAATTAAAAATCAGCAGGCAAACCGCAACCTTTTAAACACAAAAATATTCACAAGATCCTTTTCACGACATTAAGTTTGGTTACTGTTTAAGTGAGTTGAGTACACCACAGGACGGAGAGGTTGATCATGGCCCGGTTCTGAAAGACTTTGTTGAGTGGTGCAACAACCACATCCTGAAGTTAAATGGTCACAAAACTAAAACCTTTGACTTCAGGAAGAGCTCCCACGCAACCTTCCCAATAACAATGATAAAGGGCTGAGGCGGTGGAGTCCCTGGGAACACTGATCGACAAGAACTTGAACTATGACCTCAACACATCTGCTGTCTGCACAAAGGTTCTGCAGAGAATTCACTTTCTGAATACTTTAAATGTGGTCTCAGCTGTACAGGTAGCTGCGTCTCAATTGCCAGTTTCACTATCAATGCTGCTGTGCTGGAATGCCGAGGGTAATAAAACGTAGTGTGTAAGTGTTGAAACATTCCTTTAAGTGTTTAATCATGTGCTCAACTGCTTTTATATTTTTTCTATTCACATTTTATTGTTGTCCTTCAGCTCTAATTCATAGTTCAAATTCATATTGTTCTGGCATTCAGTCCTTTAAATCAGAAAGAGATCCGTTTTATTTCCGATTGCGGCCCATGTGAGAGAAAGATAAAAGACAAAAGACGGATAAAAATACTTTGTGTGTGTACTGTACATGTGTTTTGTTGTACATGTGTGGGTGTGTAGGTTGAGGTCTGAGTATTGCTGAATGCAGGAAGCGTAGGGAGTAAACAAAGGCTCGGTTCCGTATCAGTGCTCATAGATTGAAATATCAGCGGCTGTGTGACCTCATGAAGGCCCTCTGCTGATGAATCACCTCTGCTGAGCAATTTCAAATTATAATAGACACAGGGGTGTGATTCCCAAAGGTGACATGGACGTGGAAGATGAAAAAACATGACATGAACACTGAGGCTCCACTTGTGCTATGAATACAAGTGTAATACTGTACAAGTGTCCAATTAAAAAAAAACAACACACCCCTCATAACTCACGAGTTATTTTGTTTCAATTCTAGGACGAAGTAGGTGTTGTTTTCTCAGAGGAAAGATATCTTACTTCAAATTTCTGTAAATGTCATGTTTTCGCTTAAACTTGAGTGGTGACAACATGAGATGTCGCAGGCGATGGGATGAGTCACGACTGTTAAGAGTATTTCAAAGTGAAGGTGATTCCCTCAGGAGCCCTTCAGATGGGAGGGGAAGAAATATTACATTCATAATCTCATCGCTGTTTTTCAAAAACTTCCTCTCTTCTTGTCATTTTGCTGTCGCTGACAACTTGAAGAGCGATGGCTGAAAATCTCTGTGAGGGCGGCTCCCCAAAGCTCATGTAGAGATAATGTCACCTCAGGATGCATCAAGGGTGTTGTTACCACACAGGGAATCTTAAGGAACTAAAACTTTGACGAGCAGTGCCTGAATTGGACTAAACCCTAACTCTAATTCTTTTAGCATTTTCTATTCTTCTTAACAAGAACATTTTTCAATGTAAAGCTAGCTATGTGTTCCTGGTAAGCTCCTGGTAAGAACTGGCCCAATATTAGGCACTGCTTCCTTTCAGCACACTAACTCACGGCTCTGCTTCTCCAGCTAAGGCTTTTATTAATATATCTGCTTTTTTATCTTCCGTTATTTCCTGGGCATTTAGGATTCCTAGAAATTGCTCCTTCCAGTCCCATAACTCAACTTCACTGTTTGGCCCTTTAAATTTGAGCACCCAAGGTGTGCCAGGATAAGTTGGCATCACCATTATTCCCTCTAACTTCTATGACGCCTAAGTACTGCACACTGCTCCCAAACTTGTATCTTGCCGACAACACCAGAAAATATATGGTCCAATAACTATGAAGTTGTCCAACAATGCCACCTAGATTTTCAAGAGCTGAGAAACTCTCAAGTTGAAGTTGCCAGACAACTTTATAGTAACTGCGGTCGTAAAAACGGTAGAATAAACCAGTTTATTTTAATGACTCTCATATTAAAAACACATTTCAACCTCGCAGGAGCCTCTGGAGGGTCGTTGTTTGACAGCATCTGATTACTCACCTCCCAACACAAATGATGAACAAGACTGAAAGTCTAAAGTTTTTATTTTCCACATCTATGAAATTTTGGTGCAGACATTCATGGTCCCCAAAGGATGAAGGATGATGAGCCTCTGACTTTTTGTCTCTTTGTCGTTAAGTTGGTCCAGCGACTAACCCTTGTCTCAGAATGGAAACACTGCTAGACTGAAACTTTCTATTATTAACCTTTCCACCACCAGACAAACCGTTATACAATTAAATATAAAATGATCTGTCAGTAGAAATCTTCAGACAGTTTCTGGGTGTCAGATCACCAGATGGATGTCTGCAGTCTAATTAATGCCCGTCTGTTTGGGGTCATTGACATGAAAACCTGCAGGACCTTCTGTTCTGAGGCTCTGGTCTGATTATACTGGAACTTTGAAGGAACCAAACATCTCAGTGTCCAGAGGAGTACCTGCACCATCGTTGGGAATGACATGTTTACTTGTTCTTGTCACTGCGGTGAAGAATAATAATTTTGCAAAATCAGTTGTGGTTCAGCTAAAATTTTGCAGACATCAGCTGCTAATCAAGATGCAGAAACCCTGCACAGATTGGAGCACATTAAGGAAAAAGGCTGTTTGTGTGTGATTATTCTCCCGTGGTTATAACATAACATTATTCATGTATTCTGTTTTCCACCATTTAGAAGCTACAGACTGTTTCCCTTTAGCCTGTTAATGCTTTTTAGAAAAAAAAAAACAGTTTATCAGATGTAGAAGTACTCATATCATTTACTTAAAGGATAAGTGTGTAGGATTGAGTGGCTTCCAAAGGTGAAGTTTCATATTGCAACTAACTGAACACCACTGGTGCAGGTATTTAACCACCTGGGAATGAGAACAGGCCTTTAGGAGAAACTACAGTGACCATGAAACTCGTGAAAGTCCTTATCCATAGCCAGTGTTTGGTTTGTTTGTTCTGGGCTACTGTAGAAACATGGCGGTTCAACATGGCAGACTCCATGGAAGACAAACCGCTGTGTTCTGATCCTCCTAAATGTTACACACTTGACCTTAAGCCATGATAATGATGTTCTCCCGAAACTTAACCACAAACAATGACGCATCTCTAATACTAACCAAGTTGTTTTAGTAAACCTAAGCAAACTTTTTTGTGTGACAGGCTTTTTATTTTTGTGATGGTTTTCCGAGGCACTGATGTGGAATGTCGTCCTTAAAGGAGCCAGATCAGAAAATGTATATTTGTTAGTTTGTTCTGGCATTCACAGAACATTTTATTTAATCTGGAGAACTTGTTCTTAACCACCAATAACTTTTTGATGGTTGACAATCTGATGGTTATAGAGCTTGTTATGGGCAGCGCAGCATGAAAGGAATAACTGAGGTACATTCATTAGTTTCAATAAAGATAAGTATAATGTGTCTTTTTATTTTTTGTTTTTATGACAATTCTTTTGTCTTTTTCACTACATCACTGAATATTTTCTCTGTGAGCTGCTCTCTGAAGTGTGAAACTGATACTCACCCCCTGAGGTTGGCGTCATAATCCTGCCCGAACAGCTGAGATTTATAAGCACACGGCCTCTGCGCTGTTTTTACTGCTCGGAGTTCTCACTGTGTTGAAAATATTGTCTGAATTTGTCCTCTGATAATCACTGACGATGGTCTCCTCTCTTCCCTGTGTGCCTTTGTAGAGCAGCGTGAGGCAGAGGATTCCTGCTGGGATCTGAGAGGGAAGAATTTGGCGTCCTGGCGGTGTAGACAGACCCCCGACTCTGGTCCCCCGCAACCCTGAAGGGACCAGCTTGATTTCACATGAACGAACCCGTCTGAGAGGGACTCACACATCACCTCTGGGGTTTTTTGACGCTTCTGATTGGACGTCGCATCAGTTTGTCTGACCCATAGGCCTTTTGTTTCTTCTAGTTTCAACTTTTTTCCCCCCTTCTTTTTCTCTCTTGAACATGAGGTTCTGCCTCAAAAATCAGACGACGATGCTGTTGCAACTTTATTTTCCATCTGAAAAGATGGAGAAGTTTACAGCCGCCACAGCTTCACCAGCCGTTCAAGAAAACTGAGAGGGTGGATTATTGAAAGGAGTCTGGTGGAGCCTTTTGGAGAGTTTAAGTGGATGTTTGCTGCTGCTGAAACACCTGCAAAGGTGCAGAGTTTATTAGTAGTCTGGAATAACAGTGTGTGTCTGCCAGTGTGTGAATGTTGGTGTTTATCCTGAGACACATTTCCATGTAAATAAGAAGTGCTGCAGAGGAGCTGAACATCTGGAGGGACACAGAAGATTTGCAAACCAGATTAAATAAATGTAATATTCCAAAAAAGCACAAGATTGATTGTTTTAGTGAATTTGGTGGTGGTGCAGCAGATCATTTCTATAGATATTATTTGGACAAAAATCATATTTTTTTACTCCCAGTTTCAACCGTCACGCCTTAAACGTGTAACGTCCTGTGATTTACATACATTTATCTCCAAACCGAGCAGACAGAATTGGTTGTGGTGAGACTAACGAGCCGCCACCGCCCCGGTTTCCGAGGCAATTAATCTCATCATCAACTTTTTGCATTCAGGTCCTTCCTTTGTGCACCTCCTTCTAGAAAAAACATTTGAATAAGATTTGATTTAATAAGAATGTAACTACATATGATTACACATTTTATTGAGGATGCTGCTTTTTATTGATGGACAGACCTTCATAAACACAACCAAGACTGTAAATTCAGAACGTCTAATGTTCAGGCATGTCACAGTTATGTTTCTGAAAAGATAAAGATTCTACTGAATTTTACTGTTTTTAATTGAAATTATTATTATTTTTAACTTATTTAGACAGTTCTAGTCCAGTTCTTGGATGCCTTTTTTCTTCCAAACAAGGAAACAGAAGCCATTTCAATATCTGTTTAAATCTTGTGAAGTATTGAGTGAAAGAGCTGCCATCTTGAAGCAAACTTGCCACTGAGCTCCGAATCAAATTTGATGATTGATGATGATGATTTTGAAGGATTTTGTAACTTTAACTGACTCAAATTCATCAGTATTCAAGTTAAGTTGACTGAGACGCAACTATTAACACCTTTTTATCACCTGCTTTTATTTTTTTAGTTCTCACATTGGATTACAGCCTTCAGGATAGCAGTGTCAGGACTTTAATTGGCAATATAGAATTTGGCTTATTGACCTTGGAGAGACGAGTCACAAGCTTGCCAAGTTTCACGGCGCCCAGAGGACAACAGGACCTCACGTACATCTCGTCCTGCACGTCTGAAATCACCTCTTCCTGCCCCGGGGGGAAAAACACGCAGCACGTCCCGTCACCGCCATGGTGATGTCGCAGGGCACCTACACCTTCCTGGCCTGTTTCGCCGGCTTCTGGTTGGTCTGGGCCGTCATCGTCATGCTCTGCTGCTTCTGCAGCTTCCTGCAGCGCAGGCTGAAGCGCCGCCACGAAGAGAGGCTGAGGGAGCAATGTCTGCGAACCGTAGAGACTGAGCCACTTGGCTGTCACCCCGCAGGATACCCTCCTCCTCTTCCTCCTCCTCCACCTCCACCACCACCTCCATTGCTGCCCAGGGAGCCACCGCAGTTCTCACCGCCTCAGACCTTGTTGCCGCCTGTTCCTCTGCAGGTTCCTCATCCCATGCCGCAGGCAAACTGGATCAGCATGCCAGGTAACGTGACTGGATTGTTGTTGTTTGGTTATTTGTTCTTGTGTGTGTCATTCTGTTGATTTTCTTTCCTCAAGAGAACATTAGGTGAGGAAAACATGAGTTTTTATAAGGTTTCTGTGGATTCATAGTTGTAGCACTCCACAGCTTTTAATGTTAATTTGAATAGTTTGTTTTTATGTTGTTTGAATGGTTCTGAACAATGTGGTTGGTAAAGGGCGGTCAGTTGACTGAAGATCTGAAGTTGGCAGATAAAGGAGGCACTTGTAGGAAGGTAAGGAGGAGGATTTTAAAGGTAATAAAGTGCAAAGTATTATTGCTGCCTCAGTATATACTGTATCTGGCCTCTATATATTTCACATTTTTGAGTTTTGGGAGGTTTCCAGACATTTGGTGTTTTACACCTTTCAGATCACAAGAGCAAAGAGCTGCTAACAGGATGTGTGGGTGTTGAATGGAATTAATTTATGCTTCATTATCTTTCTAAAATATTAAGCTGTGGCTGATGAAAGGCTGATGATTTATGAATCATTATGTGTTTAACTTCACCTACCGTGATAATCATGTTTATTCTACTTGTTGTTTCCAGTAACCAAGCAAAAATCAAAGAACTTTTACATATGTGGTATTATGATATCTGAAATAAGAAATTAGACATTTAAAGGTGTGTTATGCAACTCACGCCGGAGTAAAAGCTATTAGTTTAGATGCAGAGTGGACGAGACAGTTTTCCAAACCCAACACACAAGCTCCAGACAGCGATACTCACAACTCTCCTGCTACTATAGCTAACATCACAACAACTGCATAGCTTTTCAAACTAGAAAGCAATGTCTGAACTCTCAATATTTTGGAAGAAATTCTCCTACAGACAAGTAATTTAACTTTACTTCACACACAAATCCTGGCTGGATTGGCTGTAAAGGTGCTGTGTAGCTTGGTCTGAGCCACTTTGTTTCCCAATTACAAACAGCGCACACACAGAACGGCCAGCTAGCAGACCGTGATATTTGCTGAATTTGACCAGAAGTGTACTGAATTAGAATTGCTAACCCCACCTTTAAGTACTTAAAAACAATTATTAACAAGTAAACAACTACGAAAAGTCTAACTATGAGACAAACTGCAGCAGTGAGTCTGCAGGCAGCACAAGATCATATATCTGGTACATGAACCCTCAGTCCAACTCTTCGGTATTCTTTGGCGTGCAAGCTGCAGTTTGGCACGAGAGGTGTCGAGGGCAGCGACTTTGTACGGGAGTATGTATATTTCGATCTCTGGCAGTTTGGTATCATGAAAGCTGAGTAGGCGGGAGAAGGCGAGAGGTTTTGTCAATGTCAGACTCAGAGTGTGAGGCTGTGGCTATTTCCTGAAAGCAGTATCTACCAGTGCACATAAAGGACTCAAAAAAGTCAGAAGAAATTATTTGTTTATATTAGCACGAGCAACACAAGACTGAATTGGGAAATTTAGATTCTGTTTGATTGATTCAAATCATTTTAAGTTGACTATGGACTGTATTTTCTCTTTTTAATTTATTTCAAAAAGGTTTAATTGTTTAAAATTGCCCACCAGCAAACCCAGCTGTGTTTGACTCCAGCTCCAATAATGGATGAAACAATCAAACAACAAAGTGTTTTTCCTCCCTTCATCTCTCTTTAAACTTTAGCAGTCAGCAATAAAAATATCAACTGCTGCATCCATTAGTGTCACCACCTAACTCTTCCCACTATTACAACATTAATCACTCCTCTACGGCTGAGTGTAAAATTACTGACAAATACCAAACCTGTCACATCTTATTTGCTGTTTATTTACGGTCAAATGCATATTTTATCCATAAGACTATTTGAACTCAGGTTGTTACATCAACAAAAACAGAGGAGGAAAAAAAAATAATTCACAACATGCATATGAGCAATTCACATTCAGACAGAAAAGCAGAGGACAGGAGGAGGATTACATTATGCACTGTGTCAGATTTTTTTAGACTCTTCGGTTCCCAGCTTCCACCTCCCTGCCTGCCGGGCAGCGTTCCCCTGCGGGGCGTCATGGCGACAGCTGCCGCTGAGGCGTGGGTGGTGACTGTGGAGGCCGAGCGGTGACGGAGCAAGCAACAACACGGCCGGGCTAAACTAAAAAAGAAACAGAAAGGCGAGAAGAAAGAGACAATCAGAGGGAGAGTGTGGAGTCAGCAGGAGCACAGCTGGGCGAGAGAGAGGCTTTTTTCCATCAGATCTTTATTTTACAGTTTTGATTTTTTTCCCATATGTATGCAGAAAGAATTATTGATCACTGTAATCATTCCTCTGTGAAACTCCCTGCTTCATTTGTACATAACAGCTGGCAGCTGTCGACTACAGCCACAGACTGACATTGCAAGTCACAAAGCTGCTCCATATCTGCATTCGGCAGTTAAATGCCTTGCTCAAGGGTGCCTCAATTCTGCAAAAGAGAGTCTTTCCTCTCCAACATTACACTACCTTGCAGTCCTCAGGCTTCTTTTTTTCCCACCCAGTGCTTGCCAATTGCTCCTCAGCTCAAGGTCAGTGTGTACAACATTTTTTATGGAAATTCATTCATGGGTTTTGGGAACATTCTGCTTCAACCTCCAGGCAGAAGTAAACACCAGGCAACTTTCTTTTTCAGGAATTCAAGCTTCAACGTAGAAAGCTGGAAAAGCGCTTTCAAAAGCCACTGAAATCTGAAATGAAGAAAAGTGCAACTGCAGTGAAAATTATTGTCAGCAGTAAGCAGCATTAGCATGAAGTAGAAGCCCATGCATCTCATATAAGCACCCAATTAAAATCCTACAAACTCTGACAGTAGAGCATTAACATTTGGTATTTGCAACATCAAACATTAACTTTAGAAACCTTAAAAAGCAAGTTAATTTACTTAAGAATTAAGAATTTACTTATGTTTATGGTGTAGTATTTAACAAATTTACATGGGTATGAAAAATAAATCCTAAATTATTTACAGAGGAAAAACAATAACTAGAAAAGCAACTAAAAAGACTTAGAAAGCAATGATGGAGGAGGAGCAGCACAAACCCTCAAAAACACACAGAGTGCTAGGAAAAAGAAAGAATGTGGGAAGAAGGATTTTTGGAGAGTGAAAGCTGGAGTGAGTAAAAGCGCATCAGCTGCTGTCAAAGATGGTTAATGAGCACAGACAGACAGTAACGGATAAAACAAAAGGTTGCTGGAGTCTTGGTCACAAAGCAGACTGATGAAGAGGTTTAGTATCCAGGCAGCAGCAGAGCTAAAAGAGAGGCAGGTGCCGACCAGCTGAGCACAGCAGAGGACGGAGAGAGATGCCAGGAGCTGTTTCATTCGTATACAGAGGAGAGAAAATCAGATTTTTTCAAGACATGATGGGCCACTTTCATAAGTGGTACAAATCAGATACAGGTCTGATTTTCGTACAATGCAACCTTCATATCAGAATTCATGTGACTTTGTACGTCACTTTAAATTGACATTCAGTCACTCAGCTACGATAGAGGTGGAGGGACGGTGATTATAGCTTTATCTTTCCTCCTCTATCTCCTTCACTCTCCTTCCTCTCCACTCTACCTGGCTTGAAAAGATGTTTGTGATGATATTATGGATTCACTTGACACTTGCTAACCTCTGGCCCGAGTTTTCCACGGCTCTTGTCTCTAAAACTTGTGCGAGCAAGTAGTCAGTAGAAGAAGAAATGTGAAGCTCTGTCTGTTGGCCAAAACAAGCACAATGCTCTGCTGCCTGGTTCTTCTTGCTAAGTGAAATATTATTTCACTTTGTGGACTGAGAAACCTGGGATTTTATTCAGGTAATGGTCTGTCAGTAGCATCAGAACCCCTTTCTACATGCATCAACGTTGCAAGACGTTGTCATAAATTGACCTATAACCAGCTTTAAGCAACATTTTTCCGATTTACTTTAGATCTTGGTTGTTTTTAACTATATATTTTAACCAGATAAAGGATTTTAGTTATAGGACGTCTGGATTTTAAGTTGTCAGAGAAACAAGCTAAGCTTACGTCCTTTGTCCGCTGAACAGCGTCAGACAAAAATTTTTTAAGGTGAAACTGCTTTATTCAGGATTTTTAGCGCTTTTATTCACCGGGTCCATTTGTTTTGGAGAGGAGGAGACCTCTGCAGATAATTTGGCTCTCGGTACAAACCTGAACGATAAACATAAAATCGCTACCCCTACAGTCTGCCACCAGTATGGATTGTTCTTTGATGTGGGTGTTAACAGCTTCAAATTAAGGCTTCAGCCTAATTGTCACTGCGTTTTTAGTTTCAGGTTGATTAATTAGTAGGCAGCACCGGAGATGTGATTCAGTCCAGTATTGCTTGTAAGTAAGTGCTGGATGCTCACAGCAAAGATGCGCTTTCAAACATCTGAAACTGTGACAGGAGACGTTAAAAACAACACTGGCTCCAGAAACACAGATTTCATGCATCACTCAGCTGTCATCCCACACAGCCAGCATGTCTTGCTCTTGACAGGCTTTTGTACCCGAGTCCTGACCCACACATGATGTTCACACTGGGAGCAGCTCTGATAAGTCGCTCAGTTCAGACCAGTGGAGGGTGATTATCCCTCCTCTGCAGCTGCCTGCAGCCACAGAGTTTTGAACCGGAAAATCATGGTTGTTTCTGTACTCGGTTTTGCCTTTGATAAGATTAAATTGTTGCATTAGGTAGCTATATGCCAATCACTTGAGATGTCCTGGTTGATGTGTTAAAGGGGAATGAGTGATAGCAGATCAGATGTAAGAAAAGGAATACGATGAGATTAAATGAGGAGATAAGAGGAGCTGCGAAACTGAATGAAAAAAGAAGTAGGATGAGATGAAGGTATTTTAGAGGAGATGCAAGATAGGAAGACATAAGGAGAAAAGAAGAGAATAGGTAAAGTAAGAAATCAGAGGATATGACAGGAATATGCAAAATAATATGAGAGAGGGAGAAAGGCGAGATGAGGAAAAGAGATGTGGAAAAATA